CTAGCCGGTTACTACAGAAGATTTATTCCAAACTTTGCCAAAATTTCTAAACCACTTACGAAACTACTTCAGAAAGACGTACCTTTTATTTTTAATTCTGATTGCAAAGAAGCCTTTAACGAACTCAAAATTATTTTAACTTCAGATCCAATACTTATATATCCCAATTTTGAGGAACCATTTTTACTAACAACTGACGCTAGTGCATTCGCGATTGGAGCCGTTCTATCGCAAGGCCCTATTGGAAAAGATTTACCCATAGCTTATGCCTCCAGAACATTATGCGGTGCCGAAACAAAATATTCGACTATAGAGAGAGAACTTTTAGCTATCGTATGGGCAGTCAAACATTTTAGACCATATCTTTTTGGCCGAAAATTCACCCTTATTACCGATCATCGACCCCTTACATGGCTTTTCTCGATAAAAGATCCCGGAAGCCGATTAGCGCGTTGGCGCCTAAAGCTCGAAGAATACAATTATAAAATAGAACATCGCGCAGGAAAAATAAACAGAAATGCAGATGCCCTCTCAAGGATAAAGATTAACCATTTCAAGGATTGTGCAAACTTTCAATCAAAAATCTCATTACATGCATCGAATGAAGATGACATGGAAACCCAAGAAAACGAAGACGACGATGAAGAAAATATAGAAAAAATGTCCGAAGAACTTGACAAGTTTATCGAACTGTATAGAACTAAATCAATATAATCGATTATTCAAAAATTGAAACATCGAATACGGACTTATTAGACAAATCCAACAAAAATATTGTTACATTTTTTTGGCAAAATAAACTTGAAGAACTCCACGAGAAAATAATGGATGACATATTCGAAGAAAACATGGAATATAGTAACCGAAGAATTAATATTGTACACAGCAAAACTGTAAAAGATCGAAAATATTTTATTATACCATTACCGTTTGATCCCGAACGAGTAATATCACATTTATTTCTTATACTTTTTGCAAATAAAGATCAATTCGATGAATCAAAAATATATTGTGTCGAAAATAATCTCGAACTGCCTATCCTAGAGATATTTTCGTATATTTTTGCTGACAAAGAATTAAAATTAAGAATCTGTCAAAATATAATTAAAACAGCCAGCGAAGACGAAATCCCTCAAATTTTAGATCAATACCATTGTGGTAAAAACAATTTACATCGAGTAATAAACGAAACTGTCAGAAGAATAAAGCAGAAATACAATTGGAAGAATTTAACAAAAGATGTAGAGAAATTTGTAAAAGCATGTGAAATTTGCCAAAAAGTTAAGATTTGCAGGAAAAACTTAAGTGGACCATTAGTCATAACAGAAACTCCAAAAACACCATTCGAAAGAATAAATATTGATATATTCGAATACCCTACTAGGAACTACGCTTTAACTATTCGTGACGAATTGACAAAATTCACGCAAGCCTATCCTTTGGAAGACAAAAAGGCAGTAACAGTAGCCAACACACTCCTACTCTTCTTTCAACACTATGGAACACCACTAAGAATTCATTGTGATTGCGGTCGAGAATTCGAGAATGCTATAATCAAAGATCTATGCGAATTATACGACATCAAACTAACATTTTCTAGTGTTAACCATCCACAATCTAATGGGTCTGTGGAAAGATTTCATGCCACACTCTCAGAAATGATTAGAGCAAATCAAGCCGAGAACCCAAACGATCATCCCTTCGCTATACTTCCTTATGCAATAATATGCTATAACAACACAAAAAATAAGACCCACGGTTTCACACCATATGAACTTATATTTGGGCACACTGCAGGCCGACCACCAGAAACTCTATACAATCAAAAAACACTAATGAGCAAATATATTCGAGACCTGAATAATCGCATGGAATATTTTTACAAAGTAGCCAAAGCAAAAACAGAAAGACAGAAAGAAAAGGCGAAAGTAAGATTTGACGAGAATATTTCAGAACGAAGACCTGATTTTAAAATTGGTGATAAAGTTTACGTAAAAGAATCCCAAAGTAAATCAAAATCGGATAATCTTTTTAATGGACCTTTCGAAATTCAAGAAGTTTTTACAAATTCCACAATTATCCTTAACCCCAAAACTAACCAAACCTCTAAAGTAAATTTCGACAGACTCAAACCTTATTTTGAATAATTTTCCTTTACAGATTCTATGGACTCCTTTCTATCGTCCAATCCCAAATTCTCCTCACTCCAATTAATAACACAATTGGAATATTTTTTCATGAAAAAGGAACTATACGAATATCTAACGACAAATGGACTTTACTTGTTTACAAAGAATTATTCCCTATCAAAACTACAATATATAACAATGACAGAATTTTGGAAAACCTACTAGAAAAATTTATTAACGTTGATACACCGAGAAAACTTGCCTTTCAAGCCGAAGTACAGACACATGTTAGTCTGCTAAAACAAATCTCAAACTCCGTTAACTTAAAATATAAAGAAATAACCTCCGACACAGTACCTTATAATAAACGCCTAAAACGCGGTTTAGTAGATGGTATTGGAACAATCTGGAAATCTATTACTGGAAATTTAGACGCCTCTGACGGCGAATACTTTAATAAATGTATAAATAAGATAAATTCCGATGAAACTCAAATTGAAAATCTCCTAAAAAATCAAATATCTGTTACCACTTCAGTTATAAGAACTTTCAACAGTACAATTCAAAAATTGCAAATAGACGAAGAAACCTTTAACAAAGACTTAAAAACTATCGAGACTACACTTCTGGACATTAATAATGACATCTCCTTTTACCAAGCACAATTACAAATACTAGATTTATGTGAGTCCTTAATGGAAAGTTACGTATTTTTAGAAAATTATTTAAATGATATACTAAATTCTATCACATTCTCTCGCCTGCAAATTCTACATAGTTCTATTATTTCGCCCATAGACTTATTGGACGCATTAAAAGAAATCTCACAGTCATTACAAAATAACGTATTGCCTCTACCCACTTATATGTCAAATATAGCTCAGTATATTGACATAATAAAATTACAAGCTTATCAGCTTGATTCAAAAATTGTTTTCGTTCTCGAAATTCCGTTAGTTGATCCCGAAATATTTACCTTGTATCAATTATATTCAATACCAATATTAGATAATCAAACTGGTTTTCATCATATACTTTCAACTGTTCATAAATACATTGCGCGAGATGATGATTCAATTTCATATGTCTTACCCATGGACACCGAAAAATGCAAACAAATCAGTCAAAACCAAAGAATGTGTACAGACATTCTTCCGTACCCCATAGACACAGATGCTATATGTGAAGCCCAGCTTTTGAAACCTCTCAGCAACTTACCAAAAACTTGCCAGATGTCCATGCTCTTGGCACAAGGTTACAATGTACAGGAAATCGACCGAAACTTATGGTTACTAACCATTTCCGATCTATTACCAGTAACGATCAAATGTGCAAGAAAAGAAGTCACTACACAAATAATCAAAACAAATTCAATCTTAAGATTAATTCCCGAATGTATTGCATTCATCGGCAGTACCAGAATTCATGCTAGAGACCAAATTGAGAAATATACAAATATCACGTATAGAAGTCACCCAGTTAACGTACCCTACAGATGCTGTGACCATTTTGAGCCAAAAAGTGACTTATCAAAATTAAAACCACTAAAACTCAGTAAGATCAACGTAGATGACTTAAATATTGCACAACACAAATTGGACCAATATTCAGAAGAACTGGACCATATTATGAGCCAATCATTCATTGAGGAACATCTACCCTTATTCACTATATCAACTTTATCCCTGATTATTATCCTAGTTATTCTATACCTTTTCTGCAAATACCGAACCAAAATATTCCCAAAAATTGCAATATCCCTGTCCCAGGATCAGCCTCCAACTTCATTACCACGCAGAAATTCCATTAGACAGAAACTTCAAAGCTTAACCTCCTTCAGAAGAAGACCCAATGTCCAAGAAGAAAGGGAAGCAGAAACTCCAATTACTCTGTAAAAGTCAAAGCAATGGCATTGACTTTTCACTAATAAGGGGAGCTGTTATATGAGAAAATATTAACCTTGAACTAGCTTAAGTTCGCCGACTTCAGATTTCATCATTTCATTCCCATAGAAACAGCTGAGCACGCAGTAGAACTTTGTACGAACCGTTGGCCAATATTCATGGGAACAGCGATTCAGCACTTCATACCAAACCTATAAATTGCCATTCTCAGATGCCGGGATCACTCTTAGCTGCAACTTCGACCAGTCCAGTTATTAGTCATTTTAAATTCATTTAATTTTGTACTATTATTTAATATTTAATTTGTAACAAATAAAGTTCTTTTTTAAAAAGTTAAACTCGTGATTAGTGATCTAACATATATATATATATATATATATATATATATATATATATATATATATATATATATATATATATATAATATATATATATATATATATATATATATATATATATATATATATATTATAGTCCAGTTGCTAACAGAAATAGAAAACTCTATAACATTTGCGAGACTAGGTATTTTAAATAGTAGTATAGTAAAGATTAATGAACTGAAGTCAATATTAACTCAAATTATGAAATATCATTCAAGAAACGAACTAATTTATCCGAAAATCACATCAGACATAAATAAATATTATAATATCTTAGAAACAGAAGCGTACTACTCTAACTTGACAATTGTTTTCATTGTCCATGTTCCAATAGCGTATCCCGACGAATACTCCTACTATCATTTCGATTCCTACTGTAAATCGAACCATCATAATACCCCCTAATACCTATCTGATAATGAATGAAAATTTTTACCAATACACTTCTGTACCATGTTCAAATCTGAAGCCCAAATTCTTCTGTCCCGAGAATCATCTGAAAAGCAAAAACAAATAAGACTGTCTATTTCAACTCCTTAAACTGAAATCTAATCCTACGAGATGCCAAAGTTCACGTTTCAAAAAATATGATCCAACAAATAGATGAGTCCCACTACATCGCCGTTTTGGTAACCAAAACCAAAATCCAAATGAACTGTACCAACACAGACCTTCAATTAATTTCTGGAAATTATCTCATCACAGTTCCTTTCCAATGCCAGTTTAAAACAGAAGATCAAACATTTAGCAACAATCGCCTTATTTCTGAAAGTCAACCATTATTACTTCCAAATATAGTTATTCCTTATCCTGATCAAGAAGAGATTCCCGAAGTCCATATCGAAGATGTCCAACTGGACAAGATTCACTTAGTTAAGAAGAAACAAGAAGAAATTAAATCATTGATACTTAAAAACCCAAAAGTTACTACTCCTTTTAATTTTTGGAACATATCGATAATATTACTGATTATAATAATTTTTGCATATTTTGGTATTAAATGTCTAAGAAGAACGAATTCACAAAGAAAAGATGATAGTTCCATGGAGAGTGCTCACATCCAAGATGATCCTGAAGAAAACCTACCAGAAGCCCAACCTAGGTCATTTTTCAATTCCATGAAAAATTCCAGAAACTAAGGGTGGAGGAGTTATAGTGGTTGAACCCATAAACTAATACCCTAAATTCGATGCGTCAGCACCTGAACTATGATCGACCTGAATGTAAAAGTGCAACTTATGAATTATTGTTTTATTTTCCAATGTGTAATGTATTTTATTTTATGAATTATAATTCAGTCTGATTTGAATCTTTGTACTGTGAAGTCCGATTTTAATATTGTAATAAAGTTCTCGCATTTGTAAAGTAAATAATTATTTTTTAAAAATCTTCCCTGAAGGGCAGAAACTATTAGTCGCGTAATAGATAGCCGCCCTAACTTGAAAAGGGAAATTCAAAAATAGCCTTATCAAACGGTTGTATTTCGTATACAAACCTGTAGGTTTTCGAATCGTTTTGCCTTTACGTAGATTTAAGACGCGAATTACTTAAACATGATTATTTAGTTACTGCTACTTATCTAAACTACTCTAGTTTGTATTTGTCTCAGTTATATTGCAAGTTGTGTAATATATAAGACAGAAGTGTTATTTGAAGAGCGAGTGCGCGAGTGCACTAAAGTATCAATATTTAAGCAAATTTGGTGGTCCTTTTGATAGGATATCACCTAAAAAACCTCTAAAAAATTTGTTTTGTTTTCAGCGTTTGAATATCAATGTACATTGGAAGGTATAAAATGTCTAAATGAATACTATAACGAAATATCTGTACTTAAAGCATCTTGGTCAAATAGAACTGGACTAGTATGCGGATGTTTACCCAGTTGCAATGAAATTGAATTATCAGTTATAAGAGACGACAAAGTGGGGTAATTTATTTATAATTTAAATATATGTTATATAAAAGACACAAAAATATTTACTTATGATATAACTATTTTACTTTATTTCGAATATGGTCTCAGAATACCATTTTTTAATGTTTTCCTGTAAAAAAATCGAATCGCATATTCGTGTTTCTTGAGATTCAGATGCCGTATATGTGAGACGGTAAGTTTCCAAATTCTTGATTTGGAAAATGGACTAAAACCGATAGTTTGAAGCTGTATAACTCAAAAATAAATGATTTCTGAGTCTTGGGACACTAACTTAAATTAACTTAACAAACCCGATATTTCTCTACGTTTCATTGTCAGTGAGTACAACTGCGCTACACAACGAATGGCCAAGTACTTGGCCAAAACTCTACAACCTGTCGCCGAATATGCTTCATCCATCGTCAAACATTATTTTCATTTCATCGAATTTCTTAAACAATATCTTATCTCATAGTTAGACATTTTAGTTAGTTTCTATATCGTTTCACTCTTTACAAACATTTCTATATACGAAACTCTAAACAGTCTGAAAACTAAGTACAATATCCAGCAAGACTACTTATCTTTTAACAAACATTGTATATCCAACACTTATTTCGTTTTCCAAAATCAATTTTACTAAGATTTCGAGACTCGAGCACTATCCACATCAATGCTCAAACCCACATGTTGGCTACGATATGTTGATATTATTTATTTGGCCCCATAGCCGGGATGCTTTGGTGTCTTTTCAAACCCATCTGACTGATATACATCCTAGTATCCAGTTGAAGAAGGAGGTGAAAACTGATTCATTCCTACTGTTTTTTAATCACTCGTTTATCAAAAACCCACCCATACCAATCGTTACTTAGCATAGAGCAGGGGTACTTTTAATATATCTGCTGATAATTCTCATAATTTGATTGAGTTTGGTGTTGATTTTTGTTACAGGGCTGCTATTCAGCTACAGTGAAGCGCAGTATTGCGTCACTGGGTAGACTAGACTTGAAACAGATGTTCTGAGAGTGGTGGCATTTGTTTCATAAGAATGTTCCGCATAATTTGTGTAAACACTGTCGCCAAAATAAACACTCGAAATATCAAATAAAACTAAAGTTTCAAGCAGTCATAACGTGTTTTATTTATAACATAAGTACAAACCAGAATTTAAAAAAATTATATTTAAAAATTTCCAGCCAGGAAATAACAAATCATACATCTTCTTCTTATAGTGCCGTGCACCTATAATGCGTTGGCGAATTATCTTAAGGCCAGACGTCTGTATTTTGCGGCGTGCAAAAGATCGCCAGTGTTATTTATGCATGTCCAGTTTTTATGTTCCGTAGACACGACATTTGTTTGCGATGTACTCCTCTCTTGCCTTCAATCTTTCCCTGAATGATTAGTTGAGGGGTTGCGTATTTTTTTCCTCTCAGAGTATGGCCAAGGTATTCAATTTTTCGTACCTTGATCAAATTGAGTAGTTCTCTCCCAGTATTTGTCTTTCTTAAGACTCCCTATCTGTCCATGGTGTACGGAACATTGTTCGCAACGTCCACATTTCATAGGCCTCCAACTTATTAATGGAAGGTACTCTTAACGTTCACATTTCGAAGGCCTCCAACAATGACGTATAATATATAGACTACGCAGTCCCCTATTCTCGCTATAGAATCGAGTGTCCGAAAGATCTCGGCTCAAGGTTGAAGGTATGTTTATCACAACAGCGACGTGCTCATTTATATGTTAATGACAATATATATTTTTTTAATTAAAATTAAATATTTATGATTTCTATTTGTTCCCGTCTATAAGAGAAATAATTATTTTGATAAAATAGTATGGCATTTTACTAAAATAGTAAGTAAATAACTTCAACAATTTAAAATAAAATTTGCTTGTCACACACAATGGAGAAAATGTTTTCGTACGTCCATGATGTTTTCAAACACAAGATCAACTTCGTGATGCTTCGTAAGAAATCATCAACTTCGTGCATCTTCGTATCAAAACAATAAACAATAACAAAGGTATTCATGTTTTGGACACTTTTTAAAGCGTTCACCGAGTCTATATATTATACGTCATTGGCCTCCAACTTATTAATGGAAGGTACTCTTAACGTCCATGTTTTCATGTCGTATAACAATATGAACTATACATAGCATTTAACCATCCTGTAGCGGAGATTGAAAGAAAGATTATGGTTACCTAGTAGCGGTTTAAATTTGATAAAAGCTTGTGTTGCTTGTTCGCTACGGCATTTTATTTCTTGTTGAGGATCTTATTGGTCATTCATCTTCATTCCCAAGTATTTAACTATCTATCTACTTGCAGTTATATTCTTAAAAGTTCGTTTTTTCTTATTGCCATGCATTCAGTTTTTCCAGCATTTATCTTCAAGTCATACATTTTTCCTACGGTGTTTATTTTATTTTACATCAACTGCATATCATGTTCGTTGTCTGATATTATCGCGGTGTCGTCGGCGTAACGAATGTTATCTCTCGAAAACCCATTTACCTTTATTCTACACTCAAAACCTTCCAGTGCCTCTATAAAAATGTTCTCCACATAGAGATTGAAAAGCATAGGAGACAAAATACACCCCTGTCGTACACTCTTAAAATTTCAAATTCTTCTGTGTTGGTTGATTTGTTCAGTCTCACTCGTGCTTTTTGATTCCAATAGAGATTCTGGATAACTATTATATCTTTCTCGTCAATGTTAGCGTTGTGTAGCATTTTTATCATTGCGTCAAGTTTTACGGTGTCAAACGCCTTTTCATAACCGAGGAATGTTATGACTATATCCTTTCGTTGATCCATGAAGTTTTGTACAAGCGTATTCGCAGAAAGCTGCTTCAAATGTACCCAGTCCGCTCTTGAAACCAAATTGTGTCTCACCGCTTAGATCTTCCAGCTTTCTGAACATTCTTGTGTGAAGGATGCGAAGAAACACCTTAAGCAAATGGCTCATTAAACTTATCAGTCTGTGGTCTTTGCATTTTGTCGCTCTTTGTGATTTTTTCTTCTTCAAGTGCCCTTTCCGTTGCGAACGTTGGCTATTAACATGGCAATTTTGATCTTGTTTGCGGCGCTTCTGAATAGTTCGACCGATGTGAGCCCGAACCACTTCCGCAGATTTTGGAGCCACGAGTGTCTTCTCCTGCCTGGCCCTCGCTTACTGTCTATTTTTCCCTGGACAATCAATTGTAGCAGACGGTACTTATCGTGTCTCAATATGTGGCCTAGATATTCAAGCTTTCTTTGTTTAATTATATTCACGATTTCTTTCTCCTTTCCGATTCTTTGGAGTACCTCTATGTTGGTGACATGTTCGGTCCAGGATATACGAAGAATGCGTCGGTACACCCACATTTCGAATGCTTCTAGTTTTCTCGTTACCGTCTCCGTCAGTGTCCAGGCCTCCACGCCATACAGCAAAATCAGAAAAATGTAGCATTTAACTATACGTAGTTTTAGGGGAAGAGACAAATCCTTGCTTATGAGGAGAGACAAATCCTTTGTGATTTAGGGATCATTATAAAGGTTGAATAAAACCAATCCGGTATTATATATGGCATTGAAAATTGTTACGAGCATGTCGATGTTATTATCTTCCAACAGTTTTATGGCTTTCGTAGTAATTCCATCCGGTCCAGGGGCTTTAACTAGTTTTGCGTACTGACTTTTATAGCGTACTCCACCACGGCGCAAATAATGGAAAGGTCGGATAAATTTTCCGTGGGTAAGTTAGTAGTTGGCAGATTCGGTCTATTATTGGCAGAGACGAATGAAGCATAGTTTGCCCAGATTTTAGGTAGTTCTTCCTGTGTATGAACGTAGTTTTCTTGATCATTCTTCAGGCGAGTCTGATGGTGTTTCTTGTATATATTCGAAATTTATTTGACTTTTTTATGTAGTCCAAAGTTGTCTCCATTTTCTTGTAGTTATTTCAATTCTTTATATCGTTCTTTCATCCAGCTTTCCCCTTGCATTTTTAATTCTTACCCTTATCGTACGTTGGATTCCCTTGTATTCTTGTTGATTCTGATGTATTTTGTACTGTCTGCTCCATTAGATCAAGTATCTCTTCCGTCATACACTGGTTTTTGTGATTTATTTTTATTGTACTTGCGACTACTTCGTCAGCCTCGACTATAGCTATTTTTATTTTCTCACAGGTTAACTTTATACAATTTCCTTGTATGTTTCTCAAATTCTCTTTGATGTGCTTACTGTATGTAAATCTAAGCTCTTCATCTCTAATTAATTTTCTAGTGTTTATGTACTTTTTATTAGATGGCTTTTTAACCTTTGCCAATCGAGGCCTTACATTCGTGATTAGGGGGTTGGGGTCAGACGAAATGTCCGCACCAGAGTAAGCGGCCACTCTTTTTATACAGTTGCGGAATCTTTGATTTATCAAGATGTAATCAATTTGATTTCGTATCATATGACCTAGACGATCTCCTGGTGCTCGCCATGTATACAATCTTCTTGGTGGGAGTTGATACCACGTATTGGATATGACGAAATCGTGATCATTACAAAATTCAATTAGTAACTCTCCTTGCTCATTTTTGTTACCCAGACCGAAATCACCGACCGGATTACCACATCTACCCCTACCGACTTTGGCATTAAAATCGCCCATTATGATTTTGATATCGTTTTTCTTTGTGACCTTTAATGCTTCCTTTATGTCTTTATAGAAATTTAAAACCTCAGTTTCCAGTTTATCAGATGTGGGTGCGTAGACTTGGATTAGGTTTATATTAATAGGTTGACCGGCTAACTTCACTATGATTACTCTGTTTGAAACGGGTATGTAATTTATAACAGGCATCGCAATTCTTTTACCAAGCACTATTAATTACCTGTGGTAATTATCTGTGGCGTCGCTACCGGAATAGTACACTGTAAAGTTGTCTTTGTGGGAAATACCTGAGCCAGACCACCACAATTCACTTAGACCGATTGCTTTCACTTCTAGGCGCCACATTTCTTTGAGCAGGTTATGTAACTTTCTTGGAATGCACAAACTATTGAAGTTCCATGTCGCAACTTTAAGAATAACATCTTAAAGTCGAACCCTGGGAATTTTTAGCACCTTTGGACATCTAAGGTCTGCCCGGGACTGAGGACCTTTGCTTCAATTTTGTCCGACATATAAGATAATTATTCTAGGGATATCTGTAGGGATCTGTAATGTAATGGTTTCTCCTTACCGTCTACATCTTTATGTTGTTTGCCAAATTTTAGTTCATCTGCTTTCGGGGTAGATTTCTCAACCCCAGAAAAAAAAGTTCCCTACCACTTACCAACTCCTATGCCCGAAGCCGTTGGTCAGTAAGAGGGTGACTGCTTATACCGGCAATCACTCGGTGAAATTTTCGCCATATCTGGCTACCCTCACTTAGTTTAGCCTGCAGACTAATACAGTTGCCCGGGGTGTGGCACGTGGAGCCATAATTGAGAGTTAGGTATCATGAGGACCAGTTATCAAGAACCATCTCCCGTCTATAACGCTTGATATGGTCGTTCCAATAAAAGGTACTGCCTGTATAACATAACCCTACAAACCATACATACACACATAAATATACACATATACATACACACATGTATATACAGTCACGGCTACAGAACTATCAGTAAGGATCAATATCAGCCACTGTATTGTTACCGATATTCTATCACTATGAGTCACACACTTAAAGATACTAGTGGAATACCAGTAAATTAAATAGTCATATAATTTTAATATGTTTTAGAATCATCAATGATTTTGCTGTTGTGGAATTGACCCTAGAAAGACTACCAACTGAACGATTTAAACGGAATGTTGTACGAGGAAAATTGGATTTAGTCGGTATGATATTAACTAAAATACCATACACATTAATTGTTGTTTAAAACACGATTAAATTACTGGCACAGAGTTAATTAGTTTGTATTAAGATTATTGATATTTAGCTTCAATTAATGAAAAACCTGTTTAGTGACAAAAAGTTGAATTAAGAATAGAAATATTTATATCTTGTACCATTTGTTATCCTTTTATACGAATTTTGATCTTTTTTTGAAATTCGAAAAAAATTATTGATAAATTATCGTCATTTCCAATAATATCATCGATTTAGGCTTATTATAATCATTACTGTCATCAGTATTATTGGTCGTAAATAAGCTTAAAAAAAGTTATATAACACTTTTAATAAAGAAAAAGTTTCACCGCGGTGTTTTAGATAGTTAACTGAAACTATCAGATGCTGTGTAGTGATCTTCAAAATAAGACACAGAGGAAATTATTGTATTAGATTCGTTTCTATATGATTCATGTGAGATAAACTTTACAAACAGGAACTGATATAAAATACAAAAGCAGTAAAATCCAAAACCAACGGAATAAAATTCCAAACTAGGTTGTACCTTAATTTTTTTTAGTTGTTTAGTTGTTCATAATCTTCTAAAGCTCTGGAGGGATTAGGAAATGCTAAAAGGTCTTAATCCCAATGAAAGATAAATCCAAATCTGCAACCTCCACGTGGTAGAAGATGGGCAACATCTATTTATAGTTGACCAATGCAGATAGTGACCGAGTGATTGCCGGTATAAGCAATCTCTCACTTATTGACCAACGGCTACGGGCGGATGAGTTGGTAAGTGATAGCGCACTCTTTTGTCCTGGCGTTAAGAAATCGACACCAAAGGCGGATAAATCAAAGAAATGGTCAACGGCAGAAGGATGTAGAAGGCACTACATTAAAGATCTTTGAATAGATATCTCTTGTCAATTATCATGGATATTATAAATGACAATTACACAACTACTGATCATGGACATCAGATACCAAGATCCGACAGGGGAGGCAATTATCAGTTAGACCGCGGGCCTCCCAGGTCGCCAACATGCGAAAACCCCGCGTCAGGCACAAAAATATAAACGAACTGCAGATAGCTACCTGAAATGTGAAGTCTATATATGAAACAGGGAAGATCCACAATGTAAGACATGAGATGATGCGACTTAAAGTTAATATAATGGGACTAAGCGAGACCAGATGGCCTAGATCTGGCGAAATCGAAGTCGACGGTGCCAAAATATACTATTCAGGAAATGAAGATATTCACCACCATAATGGCATCACTATAGTGGTTGATCGCAGTTTTTGCCAAGCTCTAACTTGTTTTGTTCCTATATCGGATAGTGTTAATGATCACAGCCCAAACAGCGCATAGAACTCTTCATATTATACAGGTGTACGTCCCCACTGCAGATATTGATGAAAATGAAATAGAAGAGTTCTACAATGACAGCACCAATAATAAAGATATAATAATAAAAATGGGGGATTTTAATGCCAAATTAGGATAAGGTAAATTCCAAGACATTATTGGTGAATTCGGGCTAGGAATAAGGAACAAAAGAGGGGAAAGACTGACGGAATTCTATCAGTTTGAAATGATAGCGACAAATACATTTTTTCAGTTACCATCACGTAGATTATATACATGAAAATCACTTAAGGATAGCAATGAAAAAATTATCAGAAACCAGATAGATTATATCCTTATCAATAAGAGATACCGTAACTCCATCAAATCGGCAAAGGCATATTTATATAGGAACAGATGTACCATCAGCCCACAATCCAGTAATCGTAAAATTTGAAATCCACTTAAAGAAAATAAAAAAACAATAAAAGACACAACAAATAAGCACTCTGCTGAAACACCCGAATATAAAAGGAGAACTAACGTTGAAAATTAACGAAAATTTAAGCAAAACAATAATAAATGATAATGAAGATTCCATCTAAAAATGGAAAAAAATTAAGAACACGTTAATATATATAGTTCAGCTCAACAGGCCTTAAAGGCCCAAGGCTTCAACGGTTTTCTTCCATTTCTTTCTATCTTGTGCTAAGTTTTTCCAATCTTGTACCCGCAGCGACTTCAGATCTTCTTTTGCCGACTCCAGCCATTTCCTTCGGGGGCGGCCTCTTTTTCTTTTTGTACCAGCCTCCGTGTTTATTAATTCATTGGGAACTCTTCCTTCCTTCATTCTTGCTATATGCCCGAGCCATCTTAATCTTTGAATTTTCGCGAGTCTTGTTATTTTTGGTTGTCCATATATTTGCATTATTTCTTCATTCGTTCTTCTTCGCCAGATGTTCCCCTCTTTTACACCTCCGTATATCCTTCTAAGAATTTTTCGTTCCCATCTATCTAATTTTACTTCCATATCTTTATTTAGTGTCCAGGTCTCGCTAGCATAGAGTACTGTAGGTCGGATAACTGTTGTATATATTCGTTTTTTTGCTGTTCTGGATATTATCTTCGACCTCAGTATCTTAGTCAGGCTCCCAGCACTCTTAGTTATATATATATATATATATATATATATATATATATATATATATATATATATATATATATATATAAGTTATATTCTTTACTTGGGCTTTGTACCTTAAAGGACTCTCCTAGATGATTTTCGTTTCCCCTCATCACCATATATTTTGTTTTTTCTTCGTTTATTTCTAAACCATATTCTCTGGCTATTCTCTCTATTCTAATAAAGATTTCTCTTAATTCTGCAGGTCTCCTTGTTATTAAGGTAACATCATCTGCATATGCTACACATTGATGTCTGTGATGGTATATTGTGCCTCTAGTGTAGATGTTACATTCTCGTAAAATCTTCTCTAAGATCAAATTGAAAAAATCTGTTGATAACGGATCACCTTGTCGCAGACCTCTATTGGTGATAAAACTATCCAAAACCCGTCCTTCTAACATGACTTTACTTTTAGTATCATTGAGTATGCATTTAGTCAGTCTTACTATTTTTGGTGGAAATTCAAAATATTCTAGTGCTTCATATACTTTATTTCTTTTTATAGTATCATATGCCATTCTAAAATCAATAAACAGCATGTGTACTGTTAGGTTGAATTCATATGAGCTAGCTAAAATTTGTTTCATTGTAAAAATTTGGTCAGTTACCGATCTGTTTGCTCTGAAACCTGCTTGATATTCACCTAGACAATTTTCAACTTTTGTTTTAATTTTATTTCTAATTGATATGGCCAAAATCTTATACACTGTATCTTGTAGAGCTATTCCCCTGTAATTTTTACATTCTGTAACGTCTCCTTTTTTATGCACTGGACATAAGACTGCTTCTTTTCACTGATTGGGTATTTTTTCTTTGATCCACACTTCGCGTATTAACTCAGCGATTTCTTCTTGTACCATTTCGCCACCTTCTTTTAAAAACTAAAAGCAATGATACCATTTTCACCAGGTGCTTTGTTGTTTTTTAAGTTTTTTATGATCTCTATAATGTCTTCCTTGGTAGGTACTTCTTCATTTACATCTGTGTCCCTTACTTCTTCATGTTGTAGTTGCGTTTGTTCTCTTTCATCTTGGTCGTCCGTACATAATAATATGTTCTCAAAATAACTGGCCCACCTTCTTAATTTTTCATCTGTTCCACCTAACAGATTCCCCTCTTCATCTTTATAATATCTTGATGTGGTTTTGTACTGGGTTCGGTCTCGTTTTATTTCTTGGTAGAAATTCCTGACTTGTTTATATAAAAAATCTTCTTCAATACGAACTAGTTTCTGCTCTAAACTTGAACGCTTCTTCCTTCTACATATCTTCTTTGCTTCCCGTCTTTTTTCGGCATAAGCTTTTTTACTCTCTTTATTATTTCTTATTATGCTATTTATTCTAGCTTTATTTCTGTCACTAATGGCTTTCTTACAATCCTCATCATACCAATCCGTTTGTTTACATTGTCTGTTTCTTGATAATACTGAGTCGGCTGCTTCTTGAATTTTTTCTTCTAGTTGTACCCATCTGCTTTCTATATCATTTACTGTTGTCTGGCTTTTCAGTTTCTCTTCAATTTGCTGCCTGAATTTTTTCCTAACTTCTCCCTCCTGAAGTAGTGCACCGTTATATATTTTTATTTTTTTACAACTAGCTTTATTAATTGTGGGTATTATTTGCTCCATTTTAATTTTGACCAAAAAGTGGTCCGAATTTGCATCAGCACCTCTGTAACTTCGGCTATCTTTTATGGCTCTCATCTGTTCGGCTTCTATTAGGAAATGATCTATTTGGTTTACTGTTTGTCCATCTGGTGATATCCAGGTACCTTTATGAATTTCTTTGTGATCAAAATAAGTGCTCATAATTCGCATATTGTGTTCGAAAGCAAATTCTATTACTCTTTTTCCATTCAGATTACTATCTCTATGTTTACTTTTTCCCCCTGTTATTTGTTTGTATACATCCTCCCTGCCAATCTTGGCATTCAAATCTCCTACAAATATTTTTATGTCATATGATGGTATTTTGTAAAACATATGTTCTAATTGTTCATAAAAGCTATCTTTAACGTCTTCATCTGTATTTTCTGTTGGTGCATGCACATTTATAAAGGTTATTTTTCTATATTTTCCTCTTATTCTTATTTTACATAATCTGCTTGTGACTGCCTCAAAATCTATCATCAGATTGGCAAATGTTTTCTTTATAAAAAATCCCACCCCAAATACACGTTCATTGTCTCCACTGTTGAAAAACACGTAGTTCCCCACATCCATGGTGAAATTTCCTTTTTGTTTAGTTTCTTGTATAGCTGCAATATCTATCTCATATTTCTCTAACGTATCTGATAAGTTCTTTAGTGCCCCTACTTCAAAAGTTCCTCTAACATTCCATTGTCCTATCATCATCCTATTTCGCGCTTTATTCGTTTCCATATTTTCCTGACCACTGTGCCTGTGTAGACTCAGTTTTTTTTTTAATTTTCTCTAGTTTTTCGGTACTATGGTTCCATTTCCACCATTCATCGTTTATACATATTTTCTGATAGCCGACTTTTGTTTCATTAC